ACAACGTCAATGAGTGTAGTCACAGGGTGCTGAGGCATAAAACTTAATATCACTCTGCTGACTCCATAGCTGAAGAGTTCCAAACTTTCACTGGCATTAATATCAGTACAAAAACTGTGTGGCGGGAGCTTCATGGAATGATCAGCTGCACATCACCAGCAAGTGTTGGATCGAATGGTGTAAAGCATGCCGCCACTGGACTCTGAAGCAGTGGAAACATGTTCTGTGAAGTGATGAATTACGCTTCTGTTTGGCAGTCTGATGGGCAAGTCTGGGTTTGGCAGATGCCAGGTGAACGTTATACTAAGGTACGTGGTCAACATTACCTGCCTGTCTACGTTGTGCCAGCTGTGAAGTTTGGTGGGGGAGGAATAATGGTAAACAGCTGCTTATCAGGGGTTGGGATAGGCCCGTTACTTCCAGTGAGGGGAAATCTTAATGATGCAGTATACCAAAACATTTTGGACAATACTATGCTTCTAACTTAGTATTTACAGTTTGGGGAAGGCCCTTTTCTATTCCAGCATGACTGTGCCCCAGTGCACAAAGTAAGGTCCAAGACACGGCTGGTTGAGTTTGGTGTAGAAGAACTTGACTGGCCCGCACAGAACCCTGACCTAAACCCCATCAAAAACCTTTGCGATGAACTGGAATGTAGATTGCAAGCCAGGCCTTCTCATTAAAAGGCAGTGCCTGACCTTACAAATGCTCTACTGGATAAATGGGCAAACATTCCCACAGACACACTCCAATTTTGTGACAAGCCTTTTCAGATGAGTGGAAACTGTTATAGCTGCAATAGGGAAGGCCCATCTACATATCAAGGTCGATGTATTTAGAATGTGATGTCAAAAGTCCCTGCTGTAGTAATGGTCAGGTGTCACAAATAGGAAGTGAATGTTCATTAAAATAACCTCTCAAATGTGCAGATCAAGACTCCTCTCATAAAAGCACTGATCAATATTGCATATAGTAATTATCTCAATGTCATGGCCAGCAGGTTAAAATACTGCTTATCATTGTCTGGAATTACCAACTTTTCCCCAAAATAGCCATTCTAGAAAAATCCTCCGCAATACTTCCAGCTTGTATTAAACATCTGACATTCCTAGTGTAGCAAATTTTTAGAAGCATGTTTCCGGTTATACATCTATATTAAGCAATGTGTGACAATATAAGAATGTGGAAAAAATAAAATAATAATATACCGAATTGTTTATCCTGCATTTTCTATTCATAAAGATGAGATTTATTACCCATAAATAAAAGCTATTCTGTAGAAAATGGACCCTAAGTATTCCTAATTTAGCTTCCCTTAACTATTAATGGCAAAATATTATTATGAAGTTTTAGTTAGAAAATAGGGTCAATAATAATAATATATATATATATATATTATATCCAAAACACACTTTCAGTGGGGTGGTCAAAGGACAGGAAGTATGATGCTGATCATGTATAGTTGAATCGTACAGAACAGACACAATTACCGGTATATTTACAGTTATCCATGCAGAGAGTCTCAAACATAATTTAGATGGGGATCAAACTCAGACAGGCTTCAGATTAGTGGCGAGCAACAGAAATTGGAGTTCATTGAACCACGATATTCTGCTCCTGTGAACCATACGCAGTATCAATAAGTCAGCCTCTTACACTTTATTATTTGATAAATATGGTGAAGTCATTAAACTAAATTGATGATGTCATTTGTGATGTAATGACAAAGCACTTTTAATAATAATTACGACCGCCCATGTTACCCATAAAAATGTTCTTCTGAAGAATGGCTTCATTACACACCCACATGAAACAACTCAGACGGTGATTACAACATAACAGACATATATTTAAAATAATATAACAAATATACAGATGCTGTGTCGGGCAAACAAAATTAAAAACCAGGAAGTGATTGAGTTCAAAGAGAATGTAGTGTTCTTTATTTTCCAACTTCAAAAATGTCAGCAAAATGTAATTAATACAAAATAGGGTCATTAGCTTTTATGACTGCAGAGTTTTCTAATCAATTCTTACCCATGATTTTGACTAATACAATATAATATTCACAAAGTGATTGATTGATATCAATAAGACTCAGCCAAGTAAGAATGGATGCAAGGTCATACACTGAGCAAGAAAGATAGAGTGTCTGCAGGAAAAAAAAAAAAAATTAGAAAAGAAAAAAGTACGATAAGCACGAAAAAAAAAAACGGATCAATACAATTTTCTAACTAAAACTTCATAATAATATTTTGCCATTAATAGTTAAGGGAAGCTAAATTAGGAATACTTAGGGTCCATTTTCTACAGAATAGCTTTTATTTATGGGTAATAAATCTCATCTTTATGAATAGAAAATGCAGGATAAACAATTCGGTAATGCATGGGAGGACGTAAGATCACTAGACTTTATAAAGAAGGCGATGCAGATACTTTTTTTAGCACAGCTTAACACTAATAACTGGCTTCATAATTGTGCAATATTTTTTTGCAATTTACATTTTCCAGATAGAATTATTTGAAGAGGGATTGAAGTAGCTCTATTTTACAGAAAACTTTATATACTAATAAGGCAAGGATGACTGCTCTAGAGCATAACTGATAAACTGTCAGTAGGTTATTTACAGAAATGTATTTACTATTTGGAAAATCAGTTTCAACCCCAGGAGTGTCAGAATAGGGATCACAAAGCACTTGAAATCAGGGCATTCAAATTTAAAAAGAATAGAACTGTAAAGGACAATGATGGGGAATTGCTATTGGCCAATAACCAAGGACATGTATTTTCGGAGCCTGGCAAGCAGTTTGGATTTTGCCTTTAGCCACGACAATTAAGGTTATCTCCGGTTATCAAGTTAACTCCAAATATTCACAGATTAAATTCGAATGGAAAAATCTGAGGCTAAAAGTTGTGATCCTAAAAAGTCGAATTTTTCCATATCAGCTTTTTTTGCCTCAGTTGTGAAATTTAGCTTTTTGAATATCCAAGACCCTAAGCCTGGCCCCAATCTGAAATAATTTTGTTTCAGTACAATTAGACTACCTCATTTAGTCCCTTGGATAAGTGGATTTTTTTTTTTTTTTTTTTTTTAAAGCCCACGTTTGTGAATGAACCCGGACTAAAAGCAATTAGGCAAATATGGAAATTCTTTAAGTGTTATTACCAAAATGTGAATGGTTTTTGAGAGAAATGTTCAGATTGGGACCAAAACACCGACAAATGGATTAAATACAAAATAAGTGTAGACAGCTTATTGTATTTGTTCTAGCCTATAGCCTGTCCCTGCAGGCCTTTTGCAGTAAACACTGCCTTTTCAAGAAAAGGCAGTGTTACATTACAGCCTAGTGGCCACTCCTCAGATAGCGACTAGAGGTGCTTCCTGGGACAGTGCTACACACTGTTCAGCACGGTCATTCAGAGTTTCCCCTTAAATTTGAGATGCATTGATTCATCTAAAGAGATGCAAATTGGCCAGGGTGGTGTTTGGCTCTGTCCCCTGGCTGAGATCATCAGAACTGATGATGATCTTAGCCAATCCAACAATTTCCGATGGGAAAGCATTGTGACATCAATTCTGATGTCAGCCAAGGAGGCGGATTGAGAGCGCAGCCAGCGCTGGCAGGCCTGTGCAGGACTGGAAATAAGGGGAGTTTTCTAGTTAATTAAGGAGAGTGAGGTGGGGCAAGGGGCGAGCATGTTTTGTTTTTGTTTTTAACACCATAGGGTCAGAAATTAAACTGTAAAGCTTTAAATTTATCATTAATTTTCAATGTACCTTATATGACATTTGTTAAGTTACTATTTCTGTAATTGTGCAATGAGAGGACAGTAAGAATTTCAAACTACATCAACTTTTTTTTTTTTTATAAGTATCATTAAATAGTTTCTCTTAATATTTATGCATAATATTTTTAGGTTGAGGGGATAAAAGGTTGGTTAAATGGTTTGATTCTTTTGACATTTGCATTATGACTATATCAATTTCTGAGTGCACCAGTACTTTATTATCCATTGATTTTTACATTTATATATTGAACCAGTCTAGACAAAGGCTATTCTTATCTACGGACAAAAGAAAGTGGTAGGTACAATGCACAAAAAGAAAAAAAATATTATAGTGTTAGAACTTGCATTTTAAATACAGCACCTAGTACAGAGTTATTTTCCAGAAACAAGTCTACAGAAGTATAGACTGGCCTGCTGTTATGCAACCATAACAAGGTTCAGAGTAAGAGAAAAGTGGAATTATATGTATAAACTAAAGGCATGAATAGTAAAGTGGGTTTACCAATCATGTATGTGATGGTAAAGAGTAGACTCAAGGCAAGTCTATGATTAAATACCTATCTAACTTTCAAAAATCCCATAAAACCTGTACATTGGGGGCACTGTTTTACCAGTGAGACATCGCTGAATACAAATATGTGTACTTTATTGCAGTAATAGCTAACAGTATTGTGACATTCACAGTTAAAATGTCATGCAGAACAGGAGGTATCCTGTTTTACAATGTATGTGTCAATCTGTTACAAACTGTGCAATGCTCTCGAGTTGTACATGTTCTCTTTGTCAACATAAATAAAGAATTTAAAAAAAAAAATTGTCATGCAGAACTAAAAAAAAAAAAAAATTACAAAATGTCTTAATTTCTCATTTTTATTTATATTTTATTCATATTAAATAATGTTTAATATACAAATATTTGATGTGACATGAAAGCCCTGTTTCTCCTGAACAAAATGATATATGACAAGTGTGGGTGCAATTACACCTGAACAGACACATAGCGCAAATTCAAGGTTTTGTTTACAACTTGTACAACTGGCTCAGTCCTTAAGAGGTTAAATATATTTACCAAAATATCATCGTTATTACTATGCTTATGACACAGCATCATATTCAAAAAACACAAAATGGAAATATCTGACAAGTTATACAAATGCAAATCAACCTGTTCAGATAGAATTGTAATCCAGTCTACATGAATTAAGCTAGGGGGACCAATACATTGCTAACTTTGATGTAATGCTTATCATTTAGCTTTTTTTGTATCAACATGGAGGAAGGAGAATTTAAAGTAGCATGATGACGTTGAGTCACCAAGTTAATCTCCATTAAACAGCTTTTGACAGCCACTAGAGGTAGCCTTAACCCTGCAATATAAACAGTGTAGTTTCTCTGAAAATGCTATTATATTTTTTTATTTTTTATTTTTAGATAGCAGGGTTAATGGTAATCAATGAGAAGAAGTGGTCTGGGTGCCTATAGTCTCCTTTTAATAGCTATCATCCTTTCATTAGTTCTCAAGATCTAAGCATCACAATATTGTTCACCTCTGTCCACGATGTCTACAGTCCATTCTTATGTGGGATTCTGGGTAACCTTTGCAGAAATATAGGATGGAGAATTCACACAGCAGACCTTGTCTTGGAATACTTTGCATAGTAAAGAAATATTAGCACACAAGAATTAATACTATTTTTGTAACAATGTGTGACAAGTTAGGCAGTTAGGGGACACATTCCAAAAATGGCAATTGAGTACTAACATTCTTCATAACTCCATGTGGGTAAAATGCACTAATACAATAAGTAGGTTTCAAAACGTCCACTTGACAACTAACATTTGGCAAGGGAAATTCAGCCCAGGCAATCGAAATGTAATCTTTTGTGTGTACCATGGATTTTACAGACTTGCAGTGTGGAGTCACTTTTAGGTTAGTCTAGTATCTAAGAACTTGAAATTCTGAGCCTTGCAATAAACACATTATCCAACCAAAAAACTCCCAAAACATTTGCACATCTTAATTTGCCACTATACGGAAAAATATCTCCTGGAGGGTTTCTATGAAATAAAATAATGACCCCAATAAGGGACATGCCAACTTAAGCACATCAGCTCCATTTAAATGATTGTTTCATGTAGATTATCTGCAGTGAATCATTCTACCTGTAAAAAGGCTCATGCAGTTCTATGCACCGTCCACCTACATGTAAAAATGGACAAGCAGTTTACTCTAAATCAAAGTTTTCTTGTCACTCCTAAATTCTAACAGTTAAATAACATGAACCTCTCCATTGTCACCGTTTACAACAAATTTTATAGTAACGAGAGTCAAGTCTTTGGAAAAAAAAGTGTGCAAATTCTTGAGAAAAGCAGGACAGTATTACAAACAGTGCAGTAATTGTGAATTTTATTTATAAAATGAGTTGTATATGGTTTGAATTATCATTACAGAGAACCTTCTATAAAGTGAAGAATCTCTCTTGCCAGCTGAATAGGAAACACATGCCGAAATAAAATTCATTAGGGAACACCTCCAGCAAAAAGGCTTGGACCTGATCTGCTTCTTGTTGACAGGATGGAAATTTTCCTTCGAGGTAAGGTTGTGGGGCCGAGTTAAATAAACATAGATCAAGGCGCGTTAAGCCTTTCTTTACCACATTACCAAATTGTAACCATTCTGCAAAAGCAGAACTGCACTAAAGCCACACAAAGCACACATCACATGCCGGAACAGAATCTAAACTTTCTAAAAAAAATAAAATTTTTAAAAATGCACGGACCGCACTGACAAAACATTAAAGTGCAAAGTAATAAGCAGCACTGGCGACTTCAAGTCACTTTTTAACTTGGCAAAAGGAGTCACATTTTAAACCTAAACGTATTTTAAAACAGAATATGGATAAAGAGGGGGGGAGGAGAGGGGGAGAAACAAGACTGGAGGGTAATCCACAAGTGAATTGTAGAAAGTGGCCAACCAAATTTGAAAATTAGGGACTTTATAGTTATAACAGCGCTAACACTTTCACAGCAAGCCCTGGTGATCAGCACACAGAATGCCGCATCATAGCAATGACGTGCCCCATACAGGTACTGGTATAACTATTAAAAGCCAGACAGGTTTTATCTACGTTGAGGTTTAACACATACATTGGTAGCAATCAGTTTGGTGACTGTGTAAAGCAGAACTTAATCTGCATGGGATAGTGAAGTCCCCCACGGAATCCTGTGCATTGCTCTGATACAAGATGTCATACGGACCCAAACGTCAGAGTAAAACTCACTAAGGGCTGAAAGACAGAACGCTTAGGTGCTGGGCAGCTATGTATAAAAAATATTTTTAAAAAAAAAATTCCCTCAAAACTAATGCTGCTCTTACCCATTATTATTATTGGTATTTATATAGCACCAACTAATTCCGCAGCACTTTACAATATTATGAAAGGAGGGAAAATTTACAATAAATGAGACAATTACACAGTGATACAGGAACAATAGGTAGATAAAGACCCTGCTCAAACAAGCTTATAGTCTAGAGGAGGTGGGGTACAAATACACAGCAGGGCAGCAAGGATGACAGCCACCAAACAATGTGGAAAAGGAGCAGAGCTTTAGGAGAGAGTGACGTATGGCTCTTTAGCAGGACCGGACTGGGGACAATATTCTGCCTGGGCATTTTTTGAACCACATCGGCCCACTGAGAATGACCTTGGGAACACAGGCCTTCACAGTTTGAATTGATTCCAAGCACCATAACCACTGTACTGATTTAAAGTGATCATGGTGCTTGGAGTCTGTATGTGCAGCATTTTGCTATAAAACATTGCACATACAGAGTTTAACCTCTGCTATCTGAGGTGTAACACCATCTCTGGCAGCATCATTGGGACATTAGCCAAAAATATACTTCCATGTGGCTACTAACAATACTGTGCAAATATCACATGCTGGTCCCAGACAGCCAAAGGCCACCCTCCGCCCCTCCTTCTGACAAGTGACATCAGCAGTGTAGAATGAGGCTCCAGGGAGAACTTGGTCTCGATCTGTAAAATCAGCCTTTTACAGTGCCTAGTGCTTCATGTGCGTCCTGAAATAAACTGCAAGTACATACTCCAACAGCATTTCACACAGTCCTCCACATATTATACATAACTAACATGACCGCTATAGGCATCCAAAGATCGTAACCTTCTCAGCCACACTGATCACGTGGACTTTACACCTCAACATTGTTAATATCAGTTCTGTCCAATGTGGAGAACTGTGATATACTGAGAGCTCTGGGATAACCACCCCCAGCACTCTTAGCCTATCACGGCTGTCCACGGTGGACGGAACTTCCACTGATTGTGTGTCATTTCCAGATCATAGATGGGACTGAGGAGGGGTCACTGTCTGGATGCAGGGGAGAGCCCCCATTTTGTTAAGAACACTCCCAACAGTTTGACAACTTAGAGTCTCTGTGCATTATAATCACTGAGCTGTAATACATGGATCTGTACAGTGATGGTGCAGAGTGCTCCCTTAATATAGATTTGATGAAGTGCATAGATCGCTTCTATTAATGTTAATCAGAACATGGACAATGGGATCTCTAAATGAACACATTTATGGAGTATGCAATAACTGAGGTTATTCCAATAGATTCAGGATGGGCACAGAAACAGCATGCCAAACAAAGAGCATATAAAAGAGGAATATAAAGAGTGAGATGTAACAAACTAAGCTATCTACCTCCTTATTGGCTAACAGTATAGACATTTCAAGAGCTCTGACTGATAAAAAGGCACTATGGGATCTAACAAAACTTACTAGCATCAAATGTTTTTTTCTGGCTTGTGTTATGAAAATGGGTGGCATAGCTAATGGAGTGGAGAATGCTGCCAAATTTATTTAATTTATAAGCAAAACTGAAGAGATCTGAACGTGGAGAAAAAAGTAACATGAATAGGGGACTGAAAACATGTCAAATCCAATTAGGCACGCAGTTTTGGTGCCCAAAGCGTTTCTTTTAGCGAAGTTCCATTTCAGTTGCCAAGTTAATTTACCCACAATCCAGACATCAAAAGAACCAAACAGCAAGGCAAGCTGTAGACATTATGGACAGAAGAGAACAAAATGGTGGCACCCGGATACTGAGAATCCATTGCAAGAAAGATAAAATTTACAGAACAGCAAAGGGGAGCACAATCATAAAGATGCAAGGAGAGGAAAACAAACGGGTGGGGAATTCACTTTTAAAGGAACGGTCAAAGCACCATAACCACTACAGCGCACTGTTGCGTTGATGGTGCCAGCAGTAAGTAGGCAGTCAAACTGTTTAGGAATGGTTTGACTTCTTACTTGGGATCTGCCTGCACTGCTCCCAGCCCCTCAGAGAGCTCAGGAGAACAAACAGAAGCTCCAAGCAACAGAGCAGCGCAAAAGAGGACAGGCGGGGAGCGACGTCCAGCCAACTCGAGGTAAGACGTCAAACTGTTTAAAAACGGTGTGACTACTTACAGATTAGGAGCGCCAGGTCACTTCTGGCACCATAGCCACTACAGAATGCTGTAGTGGTTATTGTGTTTCAAAAATTTCTTTAAGTGCAGGAGTACCTGAGAAGAAGAAGGGGAAATAAAAATAAAAAAAAGCATTTTTTAGAGGCTGATTTATTTTAGCAGTTATCCATTAACAGCAACACTATCGACAATACTAAACATAAAATAACAAATCAACGATACAAATAATTCCATTTCCTTCAGCACTGCTCTTGGTGGTGGGATTAAATATCCACTTTGGGGCAAGAATTGCACATGCTCCACTAAAATCTGTGTGCAAGAAACAAAATAACCATTTGTGTCAAATCATTGTTAATGCTCATTTCTAAAAAGAAACTTCTGATAATTGAAATTGATTTTGTGTACAATGTGCACTCGTCTAGTTGATCTATTATTGGGATGTTATAAGAAGATGATTCAGATCGCAAATAAAACAATTAACTCCATTAATGAGTAAGGAGTAAAGAATGCATTACAGCAATTGCTTTACAGGCGCATTATTATTTCATGAAAAGGAAATTTTGTGTGTACATTTGCAAACACAACACAAACTTTCAATAACAGCTACAAAAGGAGAACAAATCAGCACACTGCCAGTATCCCTCATAAGGGATGAGTTTGTTCCAGGGCAAGGATAAAGCCAAGTGTAATTTTCAAAATACAAACTTAGAATAAAAAAATTAAAAAAAAGGCGAAGTACAAACTATTTTATAACTTCTTAGTCAGAGAAACTATTTCTTGAGATCATCCCTGGGTGAGAGAGAGAAAGCCCCAATATTAGTGCAGTAATTGGTTCTAAAAACTCAATAAATCAACTGTAGCATATGGTTCAGAAAAACTCAAATTAATGGAGTATTGAAATTCATATGATCCTTACAGATTATTAGCACATGTAGAATTAAACAGACTAATATTAGTGACGTTATTAAATGTATAAGGTACATATACACATATTCAGATTGATTTATCTTGATTTAGTAGGCAAAGAAATACTTGATGATACTATACTGCCATCTACAGGTAGATCATAAAATAGGAAGAAGAATCAGAGAACCTAAACAGGTTTACCATAATAAAAAGGTGCAAAAAAAAAAAAAAAAAACTGTTTTAAAAAGAGTGCACAAAAATAATACGAAGACAGACTACACTTGTAGCTAGCAAACAAGGCTTGTATATACATTTTAGCTTTGTTAGCGGACAAAGTGGCATAAATCGTACAACATTACAATATTTATTACATTTTAAAGGGACACTATAATCACCAAAAGAATGTTAGCTATAGGGTCCAGTGGTCGATCAGCTGGGGGGTTGTGCAGGCGGGCGGCAAACTAAGGGATTATGGAGGCGAGCAGCATGCTGGAGGGTCGTGTTGTGAAGGTGGGCGGCATGCTGGATTATAGTGGAGGAGAGCAGCATGCTGGAGGGTCGTGTTGTGGAGGTGGGCAGCATGCTGGATTATCATGAAGGCAGGCGGCATGCAGGAAGATTGTGAAGGAGGGCAGCGAGGAAACTGTGATGTCCCTGCTCTGCTTCCCCGCACAACACTAAGTGAGACCGGGGCCGGAATATGACGACATATTCTGACCCCGTTCTAACTTCGTGGCAAGAGAGGGAGCAGAGCAGGGACATGACAGCTCCCTCGCTGCCCGCCTACCATTCGCGCAGCCAGCCGCCCACCTCAACAACCTTCCAGCATGCCGCCTGCCTCCACGACCCCTCCCCAACATGCCACCCACTTCCACAATTCCCCAGCCGGCCTCCTGTCCCCTCCGAGGTATCAGGCTCACATATCCCAGGTGCCAAGGCATAATTCCTAGGTGCCATCGCGACCTGACGCATGGGATTTGTCAAGCCCTGTTTTAACCCTGTAAATTAAAACATACACTGCAGGGTTAAACCCACCTCTCGAGGCTCTTCTGCTGCACTGACCTTGATCACATGATGGGACATCTCATATGACAGCATTGAAAACATCTTATGAGAAGCTCGCCACGCATGTGCATCAGGTCCCAAATGGAGTATTGGATTGAACCATTGGCCATGCACTTCCAAGCAGACCATTTGCACTTTGAGCCCAAATTAATAACATTTAAACTACCAAATGTATTTTCTAAACTGCTAAATTCCTGCTCCAATGATGCTTCCAATGATTTTCCTGCCATGTATTGCATTTAAAGAATTCAGAGAATTGTAGGCAATTAATATCTGGGGAGGGGCAGAGTTTTAGATCCCTGCAGTAGTACTTCATTATCCAAATATTTATGAATCTACCTGCATGCATTGCGGTCAGTTGTGGATCTTTTTGATGCAATCTCTCAAATACAGTCGGTGTACAGTATGTTCTATTAAACATAAATATGTGCTATTAAAAAAAAATATATATATATATATATAAATATATATATATATATATAAATTAATTAGACTTTCTCGCCCTATATAACCCCTACAAGGAATATCTCACTTACCTGACATCAATTCAAGAAGTTGCCCTCCCACCACTCCCTCCATTTTTAAACATAATTCTACAACACACACACAGATTTCCTGTTAGAGTAAGCAACTGCCTACAGGCACATGTCTGGTGGGGGTGACTAATCTGACTTCCCTACCTCCTGTCCTTTTAGAGCGCTGTTTGTAGTCAGGAGAACAGCCAGAGTTCCCTGTCCCACCCATACAGTCCATCTAGATTTAGTTGTGGGTACTATAGCTCTAAACGTTGCCCCCTGCTGGCTGCTCTCTAGTACTTTGGGATGTAACATGCACAGTGTGAGCCACATGGGGGTAGTGCTTCGAGCTCCTAAAAGCAGAATACTATATGTTCACACACTTTTTAGTTTGGGGATATAATTGGGGGTACTTGAGAATATGGTGATTACAGGCACACAATATGTAAATCCGGACACACAATTAAAATATAAATTTACTTTGATTTTCTAACAACTCAATTTAATAGTTAATCCTGTAACGCTTCTTTACATTTCCTCTGCTTTTGGCACTGTTGAAAAAACAACAACTTATCTCCCTTCTGACCATAATCCCCTTCTGTTCTTGATTCAAGGACCACAATAGGGTCAGGAACACAAACATGTATTCCCCCTGGGCCCCTCATGCCGTCCTAAAAATAGTAAAACTTACTTGTTTTCAAATCTGCAGCGGCATATTTTGTCTATTTCTTTTAGACCTGCCCACTGCCTGCTGACATCATCAGAAGTGATAACCTGATCAAATCACAATGCTTCCCCATAGGATTGGCTGAGACTAACAAAGAGGCAGATCAGGGGCAGAGCCAGCACGATTCAAACACAGCCCTGGCCAATCAGCATCTCCTCATAGAGATGAATTGAATCAGCCATGACCCAGGAAGGATCTCTAACTGCCATCTAAGGAGTGGCCAGTGAAGTTATCACTAGGCTGTAATGTAAACACTGCATTTTCTCTGAAAAGACAGTGTTCACAGCAAAAAGCCTGAAGGTAATGATTCTACTTACCAGAACAAATTCAATAAGCTGTAGTTGTTCTGGTGACTATACTGTCCCTTTCATGCTGCCTGCGTCTGTTCTCTGCTCATACTTGCTCTCATGTTCTAGACTGCACAATTCCTATGGAGTTCCCTTTCTTCACTCCATTAAACTCCCACCCAGTCTCCATTATTCATAAAATGTTTTTTAAAAATACCTAAAAACTCACTTTGAGAAAGCACATCAATTAAACAGTTAACACCCTTCCATCTCTCTCTTTTCTCACACTAACCTGCTTTACTATCTTCTACAACTGTATCAAGATCTCCTTGTACTGTAAATTCTCCTCAATCCCCAGCAATCAACGGAGTCTGAAATACATTTTACCTTTTCTATTATATCCGGCCACTCTTGGAATGTACGTTCATTTAACCTCTCCACCTACTGTTCCCGTACGTCCAACTTGTCTGGTCGCAACTACCTGTTTGTTGGTCCACCAACTGTACAGCACTGTAGAATATGTTGGCACTTTACAAACAATTATCGCCATCATAATAGGAACAAACAAAGTTGTCCCCCCTCCCTTTAGCTAAGACTTTTAAAAAGACCATCTTGAGACAAACAACATGGGCTAAATAAAAAACTACAGTCACCTGTATCGTGAGAGTCAGAAAACAAACACACACACACACACACACACACACACACTACGAATGACCAGTAATTTATTAATTAATTTAGGGATTTTTTTGTTTTCATATATGATACTCCTAATCCGTAGTATTAAAATATTAAGCAATGACACAATAACTGCAAAATTTATATGTGAGATTGTTGGGGTTTTTTTTGTGTTCATTAAAATATCTAATTCAACAAGCTCAGCGCATGTTCTGCATGTTCTCTAAGAGAAAAAACGACAAACCGCACATTTCAACTAGAAGATCAAAGTCATAGACAGCCAATACAATAAAGTGTGATAAAGTGAGACTGATAACGCCAATTGTACCCAACGCGTTGCTTCATAATTCTGACTCTGAAAGCGTTAAGCAGCAACTGACATCTGTGAATCCAGACACCACTTACTAATTTGTTTTCTTGCATATAAATTCTCTGCAGTTTTGGACTTCCTTTGGCAATGATTATCAGTCCTTCGTCAGAGATCTCGTAGCACTGGCCAAAATGTACATCTTTCAATTCTCTGCACTTAGTGCCCAGCTGTAAAAAATTATGACACTACCATCAGCATAAAGTTGTATTATCCAATGTAACTTTAAGCAGTTTTCTGAAATGTTATTTCTTAACATAAACTATATGTCCAAAAGTTATGTGGACAGCCCTACTAATTATTGAGTTCAGGTGTTTCATCTATTAACAGGTGAATATCCAGCATATAGCCATAAAATATAAACAGACAGACATTGAGTCACACTGAAGAACTCATGCTTTCCTATAGGGTTTTTCAAGACACTGGACACAAAGTGCGAGGACTTAAACTGTGTGGAACTGAATGAAGTGCCTCTAGTGGCTAGTTGGTAGACAGCCACTAGAGACAGTCTTAACCCTGCTATGTAAACATTGCAGTTTCTCTACAGTGTTTTACAATTCAGGGGCAGGGACACTGCACCCAGACGACTTCAATGATATTAAGGGTCTGGGTGCCAATAGTGTCCTAAAAACCAACATGTGCAATGCCAACTAGGGGCTGGCGTGGATGTAAAGGACACCACCATGGACTGTGGAGCAGTGGAAATGTGTTCTCCGGAAAGATTAATCACACTTCACTATCTAGCAGTATAAAGAAAGTATTTGAGAATGACGGATGCTAGGGGAATTCTATTTATCAGAATGTATAGTGTGTACATTAAAGTTTGATGGAGCAGTGAGAATAGTCTGAGGCTGTTATACAGGAACTGGATTAAGTCCAATATTTCCAGAGAAGCATCATCTTTAAAAAGGGACACACCAGGCACCATAACTAGTTCATTGCAATGAAGTTATGATTATGAGGAGGTCCTGGGTGTCGTCTCACCAGATTAAACAGTTCATGAATTGTTTAACCTCAAAGTTTGCAAAACAGCACAGGATAGCTCTGCTATTAACTCACCATGCAAGTCCTGGCTTCAATCAGGAAGTCTCGAGTTGGGTACTCCCCATTGAGAAAAGTGAATGAAAAGGGGTCATTTGTCCACATACATTTGGCCATATAGTGAATATTGCAGGCAATTACAGATAGGTGAACAATAACATTTGATGGATGGGAGAAAGAAAACAAATAAAAATGTAATTATTACCTGTTTGAGCACTTCATCTGTGAGCCTGTCCTGATTGCCAACATGAACTTTTTGCAGGGATGGACAATGAGTGGCAAGTGCAATGAGCGATGTATCCGAGAGCTGCTTACACCTGTAAGCCGTATATCTTAACAGTCCAGGACAATTCTGCGCGAGCTTGCAGATTCCCATGTCAGATATATTCAGACAGTCAGAAATATTGATCTCTGGTAAATTCTGATATCTTGATGTAATTCTGTCTAGTACGTCATCTTTAACCTAGTTAAAATAAAAACAAGGGAGAAAAAAAATAAAAAATAAACTCAATAGCCATTTCAGACAAAAAATGAACGCAAGCTATTTGCATACAGAATGTCTTCATTCATGGAAGTCTGAAACATAAAACCTTATAAACCTTACATAACAATTATAACTAATTATAGTGGTTATAGCAGGATTCACAATTTAAGCTCGCTTAGTGGCTGCAGGGCTGATATCTAAAGCCATCAAAAACATTTTAAAAAAATGGAGCCTGGCGCAAGCATATAACATAATATTGGGATAAAGTAAAATGTATTATTCTTAGAAAGAAGAAACCTAGTGGAGAGGGGAGAGAAGGGGGAATGCAGGTACATGGGAGTGTGACAGTGTACTTGTAAAGGTTTCAATACAAAGTGGAATAGTCTGCGTGTATTCTTGTGAATTGAATTTATGAGAACCTGAGGAGAGTATTTGCTAAAAAGAGACCTCAAGGGAGGCCCACCTGTGTACAAGATTTAGCAGGGATGATTAGTTAGATAGAATGACAGAGACACACACTTGATGACCTTTGCACTAGTTGTATTCTATAGTTCTGCTTGTAGGTGGTACTTAGCAGGGAGGAGAGAGTCTGAAGAAGTGTGTGTCTCTAAAGATAAATAGGATAGGAGGGTTTGTTATCTTAACCTCTTAAGGACCACATGGCTGTGTATGCATAAATCATCATGCAGTGAAAAGAAGCAAAATTTAAATCCTTGCTGGTACCAAGGAACCCCAGGTATCTTTCAATATCTCAGTGTCCACCGTATCAGCTTGGGCCAGAATTAGTGGCCCAAGACTAACCTATGATCTGTTGTCTTTGGTAGGTTAGTCTTTATAGCTGCGTGAACTGCTTTTGCAAAAGGAATCTCTGTAATAAGGATTTATTTTTATTGAAGATTCAAACTTTTTTTAGCTCTCTAGACTAGAATCACATTTTCCTTTCTGCCATTGGTAGATCATCCATTTGAGAGTCAAACTTTCTACCTTGTTCGAATGGCATGTCCCATGAGTGTTTTGAGTCGGCATCTACTGACCAACCTCTTAGCCAGACAGCCCATTGATTTGGTCACTAGTTGAAGGGCTTCTGAACTTGAATATGCCAAGAAGTCAGACACCATTCTGATATTCTGAGATCCTCTTTTATATTCACCCAGATAAATGTTTTCAAGCAAATTCAACCAAAACCTTTAGCTACATAACATCCTGTAATGAAAGAAATACTCTCTGCTGCATTTGTTGGAAAAATGTTTATTAATGAAGTTTCCACTTTCTTTTCATTTTTGGCATTTTGTAACTGACTTAAAGAGACACTATAGTCACCAGAATAACTACAGCTTATTGTATTTGTTCTGGTGAGTAGAATCATTACCTTCAGGCTTTTTGCTGTAAACACTGTCTTTTCAGAGAAAATGCAGTGTTTACATTACAGCCTAGTGATAACTTCACTGGCCACTCCTCAGATGGCTCTTAGAGATCCTTCCTGGGTCATGGCTGCCTAAAATGCATCCAAACATTCAGTGTCTCCTCCCTCTGCATTCAGACACTGAACTTTCCTCATAGAGATACATTAATTCAATTCATCTCTATGAGGAGATGCTGATTGGCCAGGGCTGTGTTTGAATCATGCTGTCTCTGCCCCTGATCTGCCTCCTTGTCAGTCTCAGCCAATCCTATGGGGGAAGCATTGTGATTGGATCAGGTTACCACATGTCAGCAGACAGCTTGTTTTTTTCTGAGGCAAACAGCAGGCAGATATACAGCTTCTGGCATGAATACAGTAAGATTTAGCTATATTTATGGAGGCATGAGGGGCCCAGGGGGGGCTAGATGGTGGTTTTAATATACTCGTTTTCCTGGCACTATAGTGCCCTGAGGGTGCCCCCACCCTCAGGGTACCCCTCCCACCGGGCTGGATGGAGAGGAAGGGGTTAAATCTTACCTTTTTTCCCAGCGCCAGGCGGGAAGCTCTCCTCCTCCTCTGAATGCGCATGCGCGGCAGGAGCTGCGCGCGCATTCAGCCAGTCCAAAGGAAAGCATTCACAATGCTTTCCTATGGACGCTGGCATCTTCTCACTGTGAAAATCACAGTGAGAAGCACGCAAGCGCCTCTAGCGGCTGTCAAGAGACAGCCACTGGAGGCTGGATTAGCCCTATTATAAACATAGCAGTTTCTCTGAAACTGCTATGTTTATAAAAAAAAAAAAAAAAAGGTTAACCCTAGCTGGACCTGGCACCCAGACCACTTCATTAAGCTGAAGTGGTCTGGGTGCCTATAGTGGTCCTTTAAGTTTTCCCTTATCAGCACCATCTGCTCCTCACTGCCAGACTTCTGGTGATTTAATCTTCCAGGAGCCGACACACTAAAGTAAAGAAAAATAGTTTATAAAGAATTTCGCAAAGCTGCATGTCTTCCATTGATAGTTTTATGGATGTATGTCTATTGATTTTGTTGAAATTAAAAATTTAAAAAAAAATAAATAAAAATCAGAGACCGTATTCAGCTTCAGGCTTGAATACAGTAAGATTTTGCTATATTTATGAAGGCATGAGGGGCTCGGGGGGCTAGATGGTGGTTTTAACACTATAGTGTCAGGAATACATGTTTGTGTTCCTGACTCTATAGTGATCCTTTAAGTCTCCAATAGGCAGAGTGGTTTTCATGCCCAGCATGTAAATCAACTTTCACTTTTTAATGTCTTATTGTCTTCCTTCTTAATGGGAAATATGGGTTTAACGTGTTTGGTAATAAAGGCTTTCTTGGAGGGACATTTCCACTCCCTAAGCCATGAGATCTTTAGGATTAGGGTAAACAAAAAAGGATTTAATTTGTTTATGCTTACTTAGCTATACATTATCTTCCATACATGGAGAAACTTTGGTAAGAAATTTTGGGGCAAGGAAAATTCCTCAGATGAAGCATCCGAATCTTCAGAAGATGAGCTACCTGAGGAATCAGAACGGGAGTCGATCTTTGCGGATCTTACATCCCATTCAGGGGACAGAATAGCTGCTTCCCTGATATCACTAAAGGTTTGCTGGTGGCTGGTCTGGAACCAAGACAGGCAAGAGGAAACACCAGCTTTTTTTTTAACTTCTTCTGCTGCCTCTTTAGAACAGGTATTATACATTTTCTTTTAATAACCATCTGGTATGGGATGATTACGGGGTGCACAGAGAAGATGATTGGACTTGTTTAAACATTCCCCTTTCTCCATAGGTTTCTGTTCAGTTTCAGGATTAGACATACTAGAAAAAGGAAAGAGAATGCCTAACGACCGTATACTAAGCAGGCGGACTAGAGCCCTAAAACAAAAGTAAAAAGTCTTACCTTGGGAGGCCTCAAGATATACCGAGGGCTGGTGAAAGCACACCTACAACAGAGCTAAACAGCACCCGGCTGGCAGGTAGTTGTGGTTGGATTTAAATAGTCTGCAAGGCCTAATTGTTTGGATTTGGCGCCAAAGTACTGACACCGCAATGTGCATGCGAATATCTAGGTGGAGTTTATCACCAGCAGTATAAGTGTTCCACCCGAAGGACCTGTTCGCATTCACCCTACTTCTGGCACAGATCGGGCTGGCGGGAGTAATAAGCATGTGGAACGGATAGTATGACTATCCTTTAGACAACATGTACTGTTCATTAAATCAATTGTTACTTTGTATTTTTTTTTTTTTTTATCCAGTAGTATATTCCAGACCTTTAATCCATAAACAGTCTAGTTATCAGCAACAGAAGGAATTCACGCAAAACATTTATGAAAACAACAAAGCACTAACCATATCAAGCATACTATTGGTAGATAGTACTAAACCCCAAACAAGCATTGAGCTTTATCACAGCTTTAGATTTTCTCCAATTGGATGCACAGATTTCCATCAGAGCAATGTTTAGTTTAATTATATATTTAGTGCATTACTTTTCTCCACCTTCTTATTACATTGCTGAACACCAAAGATGTGGTTAGAATGCAGCATTTTAGGGTTGTTTTTTTTTATTTTTTTTAAAGGAACACTATAGTCACCTAAATTACTTTAGCTAAATAAAGCAGTTTTAGTGTATAGATCATTCCCCTGCAATTTCACTGCTCAATTCACTGTCATTTAGGAGTTAAATCACTTTGTTTCTGTTTATGCAGCCCTAGCCACACCTCCCCTGGCTATGATTGACAGAGCCTGCATGAAAAAAATAACTGGTTTCACTTTCAAACAGATGTAATTTACCTTAAATAATTGTATCTCAATCTCTAAATTGAACTTTAATCACATACAGGAGGCTCTTGCAGGGTCTAGCAAGCTATTAACATAGCAGGGGATAAGAAAATCTTAATTAAACAGAACTTGCAATAAAGAAAGCCTAAATAGGGCTCTCTTTACAGGAAGTGTTTATGGAAGGCTGTGCAAGTCACATGCAGGAGGTGTGACTAGGGTTCATAAACAAAGGGATTTAACTCCTAAATGGCAGAGGATTGAGCAGGGAGGCTGCAGGGGCATGTTCTATACACCAAAACTGCTTCATTAAGCTAAAGGTGTTCAGGTGACTATAACGTCCCTTTAATTTACATTCCGACCGTTGTAACTCATGTTTAGACTGATTTAGCAGTTAGAGAGAAAAAACAAGGACTTCCACTTAAATAGTTATTCTTCATTGAAGCAGTAATTAAATGCATCAACAAAATTCACTATGGCTCAGGATTCCAAGAATCTGTAGTGAAATCAACACCAACAAGTACATTATAAACAATATTGAAGGCAACGAAGGGAGAAAATAAAGATTGGTTGAAAATAGAAGTAGGGAAAGTAAGAATATTAGAGATGAAGGAAGGGAAGGATTATTTTAGTTCTCAATCAATTAATAATAATAAAATATGAGAAAAAAAAAAAAAGCTTAGAAAGGGACATTGGAAGCACTATGACCATGTCATCTCATTGAATTGCTTATAGTGCCAGGAGTCCCCTGGCACCCCCTCCAGACAGTCAACCATTTTCGAGTGAGCAGTTTGACACTGGAGGTATGAGGTTGAGTTTAGCCTGTCCCTGCAGGGTTTTTGCAGCAAACACGGTCTTTTCACAGATTGCTACTAGAGGCAGGGACGTATTTGCCGCTAGGCAAACAAGGCATTTGCCTTAGGCGGCACATTCCAGGGGGCGGCATAAAACGCCGCCCCCAAATGCCCAGGCAAATACCTTGTTAGTCTCGGGCAGGCAGCTAGCTGAGATCCAAGGCGGGCGGCGAGGAAGCACTGATTTGTGAGCTCTCTGCTCAGCTCCCTCGCGCGCCACAGAGTGATGCCGGGAGTCAGAATATGATGTCTTGGAAATCAGCTAGCCGGTCAACTGTCTACATGCCTGCCTGCCTCCCTCTCTGCCCCAGGTAAAAAATAATATCCACCCAGATCTCCCATAATCTGTGAAGGGGGGGGGGGAGGTGTGTGTGTGTGTGTGTGTGTGTGTGTGTGTGTGTGTGTGTGTGTGTGTGTGTGTGTGTGTGTGTGTGTGTGTGTGTGTGTGTGTGTGTGTGTGTGTGTGTGTGTGTGTGTGTGTGTGTGTGTGTGTGTGTGTGTGTGTGTGTGTTTGTCCCTCGCCGCCCACCTTGGAATTCAGATAGCCGCACGTCCGTCCGTCCCCGCCTCCCTCCCTCCCAAAAGGGAGTGTGTGTGTGTGTGTGTGTGTGTGTGCTCCCTCGCCGCCCGCCTTGGAATTCAGCTAGCCGCCCAACTGTCTGCACGCCTGCCTCCCTGCCTGCCTGCCCAAGCAGCCCAGCCAGCAGCCACATTGGACCCCAGGTAAAAAATCCACCCAGCTCTCCCAGAGGTAGGGAGGCTGGGTGGATTTAAATTAAAAAATAATCTGTGAATGTTGGTGGGGCGGGGGAATATGTGTGTGTCTGTGTCTGGCTGTCAGTGTGTCTGTGTGTCTGGTTGGGTGTCTTTATGTCTGTCAGTGTGTGTCAGTGATTGTGTGTGTCTGTGAGTGAGCGTGAGTATGTCTGTGAGGGATCCTGTGTGTCTGAGTGATTGTGTGTGTCTGGCAGTAGGTGTCTGTGAGTGGATCTGTCAGTGAATGTGTGTGTGTCTGAGTGATTGTGTATGCCTGTCAGTGTGTGTATGCCTGTCAGTGAGTGAGTCTGCGTCAGTGAGAGAGTCTGCGTCAGTGAGAGAGTCTGCGTCAGTGAGAGAGTCTGCGTCAGTGAGTGATGTGTGTATGTCAGTGGTTATGTGTGTGTCAGATTGCGTCAAATCAGTGTATCTGAGAGTGTGTCTGTCAAAGTGTGTGTGTTAGTCTTGAACAGGAAGAGGTGTGGAATTAACATGAAGGGGTGGGGCAAATGTAAATTAGGGGGTGCCCGAGTTCAGTCATGCCAAGGGCAGCACAGATCCAAAATACACCACTGACTAGAGGTGCTTCCTGGGGCAGTGCTACACTGTGTACAGCCTCGCCCCCTCTCTCCTATGGGAAAGCATTGTGATTTGCTGAGATCATCACTTCTGATGATGTCAGCCAAGGAAGCAGATCAGGGGCAGAGCCAGAACCAGCAGACTGGAATAAAGGTAAGATTTTACTATGTTTATGAGTACAACGGGGACGAGAGGGCTAGATAGTGTTTTTAACACTATATGGTCAGGAATACTTGTTTGTTTTCCTGACCCTACAGTGATCCTTTGAAGTGGCTCTGTCACCTCAAACTTACTTTTCTCATCCTCTTTCAGAATCTGTTCTTTCTTTCTTCATTTGTCAGCTTGTTCTCTTTAAAACATAAAAACAAAGTAGGAAATACTTTGTTTTATGCATTTTCCTACATTTGGCAATCTTGACAAAGGATGGACCTTAATCTTTGTTAACCAGATAAAGGAATTTGAGCTCACCTTAAGCCCTGTCCTTTTGTCACATTTGTAAGTTTGGGGCGACAAAGCCACTTTAAGCAGTCAGACTGTACCTTTAAGTAGTATCACACATGAAGGCCAACGAGACAATAATCATAAATTGTGTAACCATCTATAGCAATTAAGTTGTAAATGCAATATTGGCATAATATCTATATGTCACCAATTCATACATTTATTTTTAGAGCTGTATTATTTGCAAGGCAGGCGTCACTCCATATGGAATTTGCCTTTTCAAAAACATTGTTTCATAAATAAAAATAAAAAAAATGATAAGTTTGACATGCATAACTGAACCTCTTTCCCCTCGCTACCTCCATGCTCCTCTCCAACTCCAAACAGATGCTCACAAGAGTGCAAAGGAGGGGTTCTATGAAAGACTACGGAATCCTTTGTAGAATATTTTACCATCTATAACGCATACAATGAGAATGGCCGCCTTCCTTTCAGCTGTCACTCACAGCAACAGCTGATTGGAAAAGGCAAGATGCAGCAACAGAAGTTCACAGAAACAATTCAAAATGACTGTCCTTTGATAATTTGTCCTCATATTCCCTTTGATTCGTTTCTATATCTGATAAATTTGCAATTATAATCTTGAGTACCTGCTGCCGACCACTGAGATCCAGCTGCCTCCAGAACTGAAAGTCTAAGCACAGGTCACGCCAATATTTGCAGACAAGTGATGCGGACAGACAGCGCTCGATCAGGGATAAGTTAGAAAATATCTGTAAAAGAGAAATTTGAAAGTGTTATTTAACTAGAATTCAAATTTGTTGAAGGACAACGGTCTCCTCAAACTTTCAATATAATCCTTGCTTCAAGTTGCATTCAATAAATATATACACACACTTTTTTGTTGTTAAATATATGTTAAAAAAAATAAAAAATAAATCATCCATACCTTTAGTATAGGACAGGATCCTTAAGCCATATACATGGACCATTGGGCAGCATTTATTTGAAAAACGACAGTCTCTATGGTGTAATAGAGACCATAACAGTTGGGTTTCAAACAATGTATGACCAAAGGTGCATGTACATGGCTGAAGGATCCTGTCATATACAAAAAGGTAAAGTTTAGTTTTTCTATTTCTTCTTTTACATTTACTTCAAAAAACTTGATTAAGTTTCATTCAAAACATTATTATATTACAATTTTGAGGTGACATCCTTTAACTAGAATCAAAAGCATAAGTTTCATTTAATTAGTTTACGTGCCACATTAAACTGAGAGTGACCACCTTTCTCTTCACTTGTTTTGTTAAAAACATTTTTATTTTGAATATCTTTGTCTTACACAGGGAAATTTTTGTGGCAACTTAACAGGTCTTTAACATATAAGGCCTTACAGCAATCAATGCAGCACTACTGCATTCTTGCCGAGTATACGCAACCCAGTCCAACCATGTTCTTTAGTTTACGCACTCAAATGGTGAAAATCTTTGTAAACATCGAAATTAAGAATTTAGGAAAAAAAAAAAAAAAGTAATTTAGAAAGACTCCTTAAAATAAATAAATAAATAAAGACAGTTGAATCAATATAGCTTAACCAACACTAACGCTCTTTAGCTGATTCAGTACACCACTCAGGCATAATGCAAGAATAATGCCAAGACACCAAGAGACACAATAAATACCCCTCTACCAATAACGTCACATTGATCCATGAATGAATGTGAATCGTACGTTAAGGCCAATATATATTTTTTGCATTTAAGCTTCGAGCTTGAAGGATGTCATTTTTGCATTTAGACCTTTTAAAGTGGAGGTGGCATTAAGGAATTTTTATCTATTTTACAATACAAAGCATGCCTGTCTAGCTGGCAAAACAAATTATTGTGCTTCGTTTATCAGTTTGGTATTATTTTATTTTGCAAGTACACAGGGTAGTTAGAGGCCACTTACAATTAGGGAGAGAGGGAAAGGTAGGTATGATTTTTTTTTCATTTTGTGTCAGAATGGTTGAATATGCCCTGGTAATGTCCCTTGGTTTGGATAGATTATTGCCAGTGTGCTTGGTACCCTTTTGGCATTTACATTTGTAGCAGAGGTTATATATCAATGAAGAGGAGGCAGACAAGCAAGCTGACATCCATTGAACTAACCACTGCTCCTGCTTTTTTTGGGGTAGTATTGACTTCTGGAAGTATTAACCCCTTAAGGACACAACTTCTGGAATAAAAGGGAATCATGACAGAATATTTCCGTCGTGTCCTTAAGGGGTTAACTTATTACCCACAGCACACCACATTAGGGAAGCCCAGGAAAATACCTGCCAAATTCATTTAACCACCTCACCCACGGTATCCATGCAAACTGCACCTTAACCACTGCATGCTACCATCTGGGATGTGGAAATGAATAGGGGCTTAAGCCATTCATGGCCACTATGAGACACATGGGGCCCCTTTTCATTGGTATTAAAGAGACTGGAAGCACAGTAATCAATAGGACTTAGTGTTTTGGTTATGATGCAAGAAGAGTTGTCCTATTTTCAATCAAGCCATTTCAGTAATTTCACAGAAATTGTGTCACATCTGGTCATCTTCAATGTGTTATTCAGAGGTGTAGATTCAAGAGATGTGGTGATAATGTTGTTTAATGGTCCTTTTTTTCTATTACACCGTTTACCGAATTAAGTCTCTGGCTCTTTCCTGGCAATGAAAGATCTGAGAGACCTTGCGATTTTGTATGACAATCCTGCCATAAGACTAGTTATTAGTGCGTCTAGTTTCATTGCAGCCAGTTAAAACAGAGTAAGAAAAGCAAAAGTTAAATCGTTATACTGATAATTTAAGTTAACCCATTTAAGGTAAAGGCTTGAACTCCACAAATCTGTACAAAGAATAGCAAACTGCTGCACATAAATATTCTACTTCTAAATAAAATGTTAAATCATGCAATTAATGACCGGACGACAAATTTTATAGCAGCAGAGTGGATTTGATTTAAATCACTAGTCGGTGCAACCAGTTTTCAGATCAGTTTAACAGTTATATCAGAACAAATTTTGCTATATATCATTAGATAATGATGAAATTATTGGACATAAACTATCTCCAGATCACATATATGTTTGGAGATTTACTTTAAGAACACCAACATTATAGGGTTCCTCTACCTATGGCAATGTGTGTACACTGATTTGCAGAATAACCACTGGATTACTTTTTATTCAGAACTTTTTATGTTTATTTTGTAACAAGTTTGCTTTGAAAAAGTTCATGTTATCTGCAGACATAAGTTCAATTAAGCAGGGAAGGGTGAAGGAACCTATCTTTAGATATTTTATTCCATCCATAAGCATTTAATTTATAATAAATAAAATTAAAATAAAAGATGCCTCTGCCCACCATGCTTTCTCTAGCTGAATTTCAGAAACCGGATGTTAATGAAAACGCTGAAGATCCAACTTTGGTGTTGGACCAGTTGTTAACGGTTTAACTCCTACAAGTAAGTAATCAACAGGGACCGGTTTGCACCATAACAACTGAACTTTGATTAGGTTGTTATGGTGCCCTAACAGAACCTTTAACATGACATACTTGCTCATGCACCTTACTGCTATAGTATAAGTGTGCATGTAAATGTCGTAGTATTCCACAGGACCATATGTTGATGGATTGGAATTCTAAATACACGGTTTCAAGTTTTTACTGCTACATCTATCGTTCAAACATGGACTGCAAAACGAAAATGTATATTAAAAGACAATCCAAAGGTTATAACCACAAAAGAGTACTGTAGGTGATATGGTGCTGGGAAACAATACCCAAACTCTTATCTTTCATATCCTTGCGATCTGTAAGATTTTTTTTGTTTATCATTGGCACCTGCATTGAACACTACCAGCATCACTTCCCCATTGAAGCCATCTAAGCATTTGGAATGTGTAAGCACGTCAGTCTTTCTGCCAGAGCTGTCCTGGAAAATGTACACATCAAATCTGTAAAAGAAGTGCTCATATGGCCATGTCCATTTGTTTAGATAGTTTGAGGAGGAAGCAAAAATTCCCTATACAAAGAAAGTGGGGTAATAAAATATAAGCTGTCAAGGACAGTTAATCAGCAGCATAACCATTGCTATGAGTGATTACAGTGCTTGCAGAGTCCTTTAAAAATAAATAAACTCTATATGTTATAGTGTGTTCAAGTGTAAAGGGGCAGGCTTCAATGCCTTGTTGGTATGGTAACACCTACCCATGTCTATTTAAAGGGTACACTAAATTTAGAAACCACACTGAGGACAAGTTCTCCCAGAAGCTTAGTCCTCCTCACTGCAGAGGGAGGGACATCCAAGAGAACAATCAAAGCAGCCATTGTTCGTCTGTCACCAGCATGCTATGCATGCTGAAGAACGGCTACCTTGCATGCACAAATGTAACATTAGCCAGCCCACAACTCTCTTCCATGCCTGCTTTTCATACTACCATACTTGGTTACTCCTCCAACAGCAAAGTTCATTAATTCTGTATGTGCAGCAAAATGAAGTGGTCATAGTGCTAGGAGTAATTCTTTAAAGTGGCTCTGTCACCATTTGGGGGCTTTGCCAAATTCGTAAAGTCCCCCGGTGGTGACCGTGCCGCTGGTGGTCCATTGGCTGGGGGAGCAAGTAAAGGTAAGTTGACTTACCTGAACTTGTCCCTCACAGGTACTGCCATCTTGGTCCTCTTTGGCACCATCATAACTGCTGTACTCTGGCACAAGTATGGAGGTCAATTCCATACAGCCAATTCCCTGCAGCTGACAGCTGGTGCGAAAATTGATTATTAGACTCCATCTTGTGTCAAAGAAAGTCAGGTGGAGGAGAAATACAGAGACAAAGTAGTGCCTACTTTGTCTCTGTATATCTCTTGACTGGGTTGGAATTTCGATGAAATTCCAAAAGTCATAATGAGTATTTCATAAAAGATTCTAGCTTTATGTAATACTAAATTGTTAATATGTGGGTGACCTTGCAGCGTTAATCTTCCTATTAGGCAAAGTAATTTTATGGCTACTCCTTTCTACCACCTTATTACATAGCTAGAATCTGATGCTTTATACATTACTCCCTGTTCTTTCAGAAGCTAAATTTGAGTATCATCCCAATAGATATTAAGGGCTATTATGCAAATCATGTTGAAATAGTGAGGAGACTAAGCAACAATTGGAGTATCGTGGGTTGTCATACTACACCATCCACTTGAAGAGCATTCACTTTTTGAAAGTCAAATTTCATGGCACACTTTATGAGATTTTGTGCAAGAATGAAAAAAAAAAAATAATAATAATATCATCAGAAGGAATATATTCTCTTCACAGAATGTGACCATTTCGGGAATTGTTTTGCAGGTTCCCCCAAAACCTCTTATTGAGAGGAAATATGCTGCATCTTTATTCAGTTTGTAGATGACATTCTATGTAGCATTTGGTGCTGTCCTTCCATTACCCACATCCCAACGCACCAAAAGTAAAAAGGGGTTTTGGTGTGAGCAGTGACTTAACGTTCTCGACAGTCCGCCTCACCTTAAGCAGAATGGATGAGGGCAACTGGTGAATATGAAACTGATCAGTCTCCTCCTCCTGGGTCTTGGGCTTAGGCTCTGGGATGCAGCTGTCCTGGGGCTTGAGCTCTGGCCCTGAGGTGCAGTTCTCCTGAGACTGTGTGGTTAGGACCCTACGGCACTGGGGCTCAACAGTGTATGGGCTTATGTCTTGCGACTGTAAAGTCGAGAGTACAGCTGAGGGGTCGCAAGTTTGGTACGGCACAGCCAAAGAATCTTCATCCTGCGACCGTACAGCCAGGGCGCCATCCTCCTGCGACCGTACAGCCAGGGCGCCATCCTCCTGCGACCGTACAGCCAGGGCGCCATCCTCCTGCGACCGTACAGCCAGGGCGCCATCCTCCTGCGACCGTACAGCCAGGGCGCCATCCTCCTGCGACCGTACAGCCATCCTCCTGCGACCGTACAGCTGTAGCGCCATGCTCTCGAGGCAGAAGACCTGCGGAGGTGCCTGCGTTTTGAGGCTGTGCGGCCGGGCAGTCTTCGTCCTGCGAGCCGTCTTGAGCGGCGGTGGCCGGTACACCTCCATCTTGGCGCTCAGCTCTCAGGACGCCGGGGGGCTCCTCGGACGTGGCGCTGCGGGGGAGCTTGCAGGGTCGCTGCGGCCCATCGCCGCTGTTCTTCCTCTTGCACACCATGTCTGCCTGCGGGGGGGACACTGGGCACAGCAGGCCGGGGCCCCTGAGCAGCCCTGGGCACAGCAGGCCGGGGAGCAGCAGGCGGGCGGCAGGGAGCTCGGGGGAGGCCGGGCTGGGAGCTCGGGGGCGGCAGGGAGCTCGGGGGTCCCGCTGGCTGTGCTGTACGATGAAGCAGAGCATGCACGGCCCGCGGAGGAAGCAGTCCCTGGCCGGCCGCTGCTGCTGCTTCCCCCGGCTCTCCGGAGTGTGAGCGCTGCGCTGCCGGCACAGCCCGCCTCCCATATAGCAAGGCCGGGGAGAGAGAGGGCGCTGGGTCCGGCCGGCTCCTCACTCAGCGCTCCCGACAGGATCGGCTTTTCTGGTTACCGCCGCAGTGACGTCACCAAAACACAAGCCGCACGCAGAAATGCCGTGTTCCTATTGGCCGAGCGGTGCGGCTGATGGCGTCATATCCCGGCGACGCCTCTCGCCGTGCGGCGGGCGTGAAGTCGGCGGACATTTTTGTTAGTGGCAAATGGCCCAAGTCCGTGTCTGAGTAACCATGGCAACAGGCTGCGCTGCACTAGGGGAAACGTGCCCGGCTTTAATATGGCTGCCGAGGAGCTTTCACCAGGAAATGAGAGTGCGCCGCCTTGTGGTCAGTGTGTGCAGCAAGGCTGGCAAAGCTCTCACTGTGACAGCTACTGAGTCAGACATAATACAATGGGGGATCCTACTCCCAGCCAGCCAGCTCAGGCATAATAAAATGGGGAGTCCTACTCCCAGCCAGCCAGCCAACTCAGACATAATAAAATGGGGAATCCTACTCCCAGCCAGCCAGCCAGCTCAGACATAATAAAATGGGGAATCCTACTCCCAGCCAGCCAGCTCAGAAATAATAAAATGGTGAATCCTACTCCCAGCCAGCCAGCCGGCTCAGACATAATAAAATGGGGAGTCCTACTCCCAGCCAGCCAGCCGGCTCTGACATAATAAAATGGGGAGTCCTACTCCCAGCCAGCCAGCCGGCTCAGACATAATAAAATGGGGAATCCTACTCCCAGCCAGCCAGCCAGCTCAGACATAATAAAATGGGGAGTCCTACTCCCAGCCAGCCAGCCAGCTCAGACATAATAAAATGGGGAATCCTACTCCCAGCCAGCCAGCTCAGACATAATAAAATGGGGAGTCCTACTACCAGCCAGCCAGCCCAGACATAATAAAATGGGGATTCCTACTCCCAGCCAGCCAACCAGCCCAGACATAATAAAATGGGGAGTCCTACTCCCAGCCAGCCAGCCGGCTCAGACATAATAAAATGGGGAGTCCTACTCCCAGCCAGCCAACTCAGACATAATAAAATGGGGAATCCTACTCCCAGCCAGCCAGCTCAGACATAATAAAATGGGGAGTCCTACTACCAGCCAGCCAGCCCAGACATAATAAAATGGGGAATCCTACTCCCAGCCAGCCAACCAGCCCAGACATAATAAAATGGGGAATACTACTCCCAGCCAGCCAGCCAGCTCAAACATAATAAAATGGGG